GACGCCATGCATTGAAGTTGGAACCGTTAAAGTTCTCTAACTTAAGACAGTCCACTCCAAGAGTCCTCGTAGGATCCATGGTAGATCAAAATAATGCTTTAAGATTGTTGGCGTTTGTGGTTAAATCTGGAATAATACAGATATATAATAGTAAAAACTGAACAGAAAACTGAAGTACAGTAATTTAAAATTATTCAACTCAGCTGCTGTGCGTTTGTAAAACGCTATGCTTTAAGCATTATTTGGCCTACTCCAGTGCAAGGATCCCAAGGCCAAATTGCTTCCAGGAACAGCAGTCCAGTACTCTGGTGTGCACCGACCCTAGTACTGTCAAGATCTTCTCAATCTATAAGGTAAAGATCTCCTCGATCTATCAGGCAAAGATCTCCTCGATCTATAAGACCTTCTCGGTCTAGGCATTGTTCTTACGAGCACTAGCTATTTTACAATATATATATCTGTATATATTGATTGTTGTTTTTGGAATGAATTTCCTTAAGGATTTGAGGTCTATTTATAGCGTTTGAAAAAATACTATGAACTAATAATATAATATATTTTACTATGCATGTGGGCCCATGTCCAAAATTTTCTTCAGTGGGGCCCACCACTTTTGAAAAATTAAAGAAAACATGGGTGGCTAAACTTTAGGTAGCAGCCCATGAGGTTTCTAACTTTGATTAAAAAATTAATATCCCAATAGTAAGACCCCGCTAACCCCTAGCTACTTAAGCCCACTCAAGCCACATAGGACGCATGTGACGAGTCATGTGGCCTGATCTCGTCAGAATTTTGGCTCCAGTCAAAAAATAGGACTACTTGTCACTGTGTTTCAAAAAAATGTACATTGTTGTTGCCGAAGTAAGAAAATATACCAGCTTAACACATATGATCAACGAAATATATCAATCTGGTAATATACCTAAATTGAAATGGATGAACACAATGGATGAAGATAGAAGTTTCCTTTTCTTCTATAGATAGATATTAAAGGAGATAGTCTAACTATAATAATTTTATCAAATTTAATAGCTAACTGAGAAATTTGCAAAACATCTAAAAACCTCTCAGTCGTTTCTTGATACTTGGGGGCTGTTTGGTTGGTTAAAAAAATAGAAATCTATTATGGAAACCTATTTTTTATAATAGGTTCATTTCTTTTGTTTGGTTCACCTCCTAAAAGTAAGAAAAGAGAAGAGATGAGATGAGTTGACATCATCTTATTAGAGGATGTGACACAATTTTAAGGAAACCCATTTCATGATTTTTTTTTTGAGGAAATGAGTGGAAAACAAGTTTTAGTGATATCTTTATCTTATTTCTTTTTCTTTGATTCTAGGAAATCAACCAAACAACCCCTAATTCGAATTTTATGGAAAGTAGTAAAGTCATTATCTGACTTCTTTACTTATTTTATTTGGATTATACTCATACTCAATGATCAATAAAGGAAATACTTTACTTGTTCTATAGTTGATCTTGTAATTTTGGATCTAAAAATAATTTCAATGTGTTCGATGCATATGACTATCCTCTGGAGCCAAGAAGCCCAATTTAGGCTACGTTGAGAAAGTATCCAGCGGATCGGATTTATCAGATACATAGTTTTCAAATGATGAGAACCTTTGATCAGTGCAAAGTGAAAACATATTTGAAAATAAGGATATCGAGTCAAGGGTTCTCCTCTTTGAGAGCACCACTTATTATGTATGTGAGATTCAAACTATAAAATTTTGTTCCCCCTTTCAAGTGATTTATATGTACTTGGAATCTGTCATGTACGTGTTAATGGTGGGGGATAGAATGAAACATGTGATGTAAAACATTAATGACATAGAGGCTACTTCGGTATCTACCATGAGAGTGGTATTTAACTCCAGTGTCAGCAAACTAAAGCTGAAGATATATAACTAATTACTTTTACTTATATATTTTTTGTTTCGTGCTTTAGGTAAAAAATAATGATGAAAAGCTATTAAACTTGATTTTTTATCTTCCTCAAAATTGTTCTGATTGGATAATTCTTACCTATTTTCTTGCAATTGTTATTGCACGCAAGTAAATAGATAAGAACTATCCATGCAGTATGATCTGCATGAAGTGCATCCAGCGAAAATCCTAGCACAGGCTCAAGCATGAGATCATTGAAAGTGGAGGAGAGGTTTAGAGTTCTGAGCAAAAGCATGAGATCATTGAAAGTGGAGGAAAGGTTTTAGAGTTCTGAGCAAAATGTAATTTACCTTAAGACGGTAAGTTCGCTGGTAGTTATGGGGTACATAAACATCGATCTCTTGGGTTCATTGAATCAAATCAATAAGCATGTATCATATTTAATTCCATTGATCAAATCAGTATATAGTCTAGTGATATTTTTGTTGACCCATGAACCAGCAACAGTCTAGGCTTTGGATCCAAATTAATTAACTCAAAGAGATTAATTTTTAGAATTTTTATTACAGCTCCAAATCTTTGTTAATTCAGACCCTTAAATTTCATATTTCTAAGTTAGACCTCCAAATCTTCACATTTGTTTGAAATGAGGATCTCATTTAAAAAAAGTTAGTATATTGGGAGTGCAAATTAGAATATATATGAGGGCACTAATAAGCCAACCTAATGAACTCTTTTGGGATCTAATTTAGCAATATGAAGATTTGGTGGTCCAATCTTGAATTAACTAAGATTTTATAAGTCAAGAGTGATTAATGTCTGGTTAATTGCTGGTTCAAAAATATCCTTTTGAAACTCATATACGGTCATGAATCTACTAATAATTGTCGTTAATTTGGATCGAAAGTCAGGTTTAAATGTCAACAACGGATCGTGCTCAATTGAAGGTTATGCTCACAAATACAAAATGATCATATTAAGGATTCTTTGATGCGCGATAGTGTGAGTACATATATATATCATATAAGAAACAATTGCGAAGATCAGATTATTTGAGCTGGTATATTCTACCACTTCAACTCTCATTAATGTTCCCGTGCACGAAGTTGTGATCTTGGATAAGAAGTTGTAGGATAGCTTTTCTAGTACATGAACCTTCTCTAATCTGAGCAGTCTATGTACTCTCTACCCACGTGGCCTTATTACTCCAATTGCTTGGCTTTTCCAAATGCCACAGGCCCACAGGATCCTCTTCATCATAGATTGTAGAGGATGGCTACCACTTATCAATAATCCCTTTTTTTTACTCTATAGACTACATGTATCATATTAATTAAATAAATTATATAAAAACCCACTTAGTTGTGGGGCTCATTGTTGTGTTAACCAATCACATTCATCCACTTAGGCGTTCTCTACAATTTAGGATGTAGAGATTTGGATGTAGAAAATCTCTTCAAGTGATACAAAATTCTTCTCTACCCACTTGTCTTTTTTTTTGTTAATCAAGATAATATGTTGAATGTTGAATATAAAACTATAATGTTAAACTATCACTTTGGAGCTTTTTGATACAATGATAACATCATTTGACAATATTGTATCATAGTAACCTATATTCGAATCTTGTTAGCCACAGATTCAAAGGCACATTTAAAAAATTATATCACTATATGAACCTAGTTGTACAACCTAAAAGAACCCTTGGCATGCCAAACCATTTGAAGTATAAAACTATAACCCTCACCCCCTCACTCCTCACCCATAACTTTGTAGTTTGGCTCACTAACAAATTTCTTTCCAATATAAATAACTTCTTCTCTCTTGCCTATCTCTATACTCCACTCCCTCTCTTTACTCACTCAATACTTTGAAGATGAGTGGGGGGCCTCTAAAATATTCTCAGAGGAGGAGAAAGATAAGGAGATATTTGATGCTAAGTAAATTCATGAAACTGAAGAAGCTCGTCCCTGGTTGTCGCAACGTAGACGTTGATGTGTTGCTTGAGAGAACCAAGGAGCATATTTGCTTGCTTGAGTTACAACTGGCACTTCTTAAAACTCTCTCAAATCTCAATGGCATTTGGTGAATTAATGTTTCCCTTAATTCTTGTTGTTGATCGAAGAAGATCTACGCATGGTAAGACTAAGTTATTAATGCAATGTTAAGTAAGCGTGAGATTCATTATTCTCTTGGTTAGTGTTTCTCTCTTGACACTATACTGGGCGGGTGTTTTTGTTCTTCATTCCTATACTTTTCTTTTGATCATTTATGATTGGATGAAACTAGCTAGTTGATGAAATTGCATGCAAGTAACGGGTTGAGGACTCTTGCTTTGTATAAATCTTGTGAACACAACTTAGAAATGTTGATTTGGTCTCACAAGTACATGAGATGGGATTTAATCCCACAATGGAAAGAAATATTGGATTAACATGTGGTTAAATATGTTCGGATTAATTACCACACAATTAAGGATTCAATTTTATTGTGTCAACTTGTTCTCTTAAGAAGGTTTCTGCTAAACAATTAATCATGAACTTGTTAAAAGATCCTTCCAACATGTTATCATAAAATGAACTAGCATTTTCTTGAACATAATCTTTAGGTTAATATATGGTTAAATTTGTTTGGATTAATTATCACACAATTAAGGATTGAATTGTTTCGTGCCAAACTTGTTCTCTTAAGAAGGTTTCTGCTAAACAATTAATCATGAACTTTGTTAAAAGATCCTTCCAACAGCTAGCATTTTCTTGAACCTAATCTTTTGTGTGCATTACAATAATATTTAGAATTTTGATATTTTAAATTAAGTCCCTCAAATCTTCATATTTTGAAATTAGAGCCACAAATCTTCACATTTTGAAATTAGTCCCCAAACCTTTTAAATCATTTGAAATTAGTCTCTCTAATCAGAGGCTAATTGAAATTAATCCCAAATGTTTTAACATTTTTTGTTTTACTAGCAATTATACCCTTATGCATCCTAACTTGAACCTTTAAAAGAGTTCAATGGAGCACATATTGGGGGAGCCGATCTTGAACTTGATTTTGGAGGAGTTGGGTACTGATTTTAGTTAATTTGGAAATTACTCATTTCTAACTAACCATTAACCCAATCATGATTAACAATTTAGATGGTAAAGTGTAATAGAGGGACTAATTTCAAAACACTTAAAGCATCGGGGCTGGGACTAATTTCAAAATATAAAGATTTGAGGGATTATGCAAAATATCAAGATTCGGGGGCTAATTTCAAAGTGTAAAGATTTGAGGGATTAATTCAAAACATGTTGATTTGGGGGACTAATTTCGAACAGTAACACGAAATATTTGGGGGACCAATATCGAAAAAAACCCAAAGCATTTTTCGTAGAATTATTCTTCATGATTTTCTCCAAAAATTCTCAAACCCACGCGTCCCGCTTACAGAGAGCTCGAAGAAAGGAACTCAAATGATAAATTAAAGAAAGGGGGGAAAAACTAATTCCGCAAATTAGGGTATCAGAAATCAAAGGGAAAAAAAAATTTAGAAGAAGATGGAGAAAGGAGTGAAGAAGAGGAGGGCAACGAGCAAAAGAAAGAAAAGACGAGGGTTTGTAAAGGCGGTAGCGGAGTACCTGTTGTCGGATTCCTACATGTACGCCCCTCTCATCGATTCCCCGTCGAAGGTTTCGGATCCGGGTCCCCATCCGCTAACTCCGACTACCCAAATCCACTCTCCCCCCTCAAACGCCGGTCAGTTTCCTCAATTATGTTTTTTTTTTTTTTTTGAGTTTTTTGTGTTTTGTAGTTTAAAGAAAAGAATCCCCAGATGGTCTTTAGTTTTCGCTAATGTCAGTTTTCCAGAAATTAACAGGTGAGCATGCACGATTAACAGAGTATTTGTTCATGAACGAGGCCTAAAAATATGTGAAATTATACGAGTCTATATGCTATTTAAGTAATTAAACATACTGTAATTAATTAGATTTTGGGGACATATCATGAAGAGCTAGCAATATCAGCAACACAAGCTTATACTATCCGCAACTGCACTGAGTTGTTGTTCCATTGAAGGAAGGCTCCTAAACCGCATAGAGTTTTTAAGTTCTAAATAGTTGTAGCGGTGGTTTTATTTTCAGGCTTGAACCTGTGTGCGCAAGTTATCGGATTTGGACTTGATCACCGAACACAGTCATGTGCCATAATCGGCCTTGAACTTCGGCCTTGAATTTTATTTCATTTGGCTGTAAGTTATATTCTTGGAATCATGATGATTGCAGGTGGTATAAAAACTTAGTGGATGCTACTAAGCATGGTGTGTTCAAAACAAGAAAGAAAAACAATTTCATTCGTCTGTGTCGTTTGCGTCGTTGGTATGAAGCCCAGGTCCTAACCTATTGTCTTAAGGTTATAGAGTTGGGTTTGAAATAAGAATTGTGTCTTTAGTTTTGAAATGTTAGTTGATAGTGTAATTTGGAAAATTAGGAGAAGTAAAATGTAAAATTTTAGAAAAAAAAAAGAAAAAAAAAGTCACTTCCTGGAGGCTTAAATAGAAAACATGTGTATGTAAACAAGAACAAGAACACAGCAGCAGCACCACAAACAACAACACAATAAATAAAATGTGCCTTATTATTTAGAAGAGAGAATAATTGGCTTTATATAGTCCATTTCCTTGTGAAAATTTTATTTTTTAGAAATATATTGTAGCGTGACTCAACAAATACTGTAAAAATCTCAATATTCCCGCAAGGAGAAGAAATGACAGCGAAATTTCACTAACAAAAAATGTAAGCAGAAACTCTGGAAGAATTGAGCAACCTTGTTCAGTGTTTTCAATTCTAGGTTGTTCAAATAATCGAGTATTTTATGAGAACAGATATAGACTAAGTACATATCATGTCCCTATCACATGAATGGTCAACATCCTATTAGTTGTCCAAGGACCTCGTAGGTCAAATCTTCAACCGTTGTAGCAGCGGGGGACATCATAGACACGAATACAATATTATATAAACACTGTAGAGACAGAGAACAACACATAATGATTTAATATGGTTAGGTCAGTATGACCTACGTCCATAGACGAGAACATCAGAGAAACTCACTAATCACAAAAGAGAAGATTATAAAGAAAATCACTCTCTAATCTTACCATATAATCATAAAAAAACTCTCTTTGTCTCTCTCTCTTCTCTCGAACTCCTCTCTTTCTTTTTCTCTATCTCGATGTTCACTCTTCACCCCTCACTCTCCATTTTATAATACCAAATTTTTGTGTGAAAGGGACAACATATTAGCTGTAATAGGTGGGCTAGGGAAGTAATAGTAGGGCTAACTACATAATTTTTGTTTACGTTTCTTCATACGATCGTAATAATGTTGGATTTTGGTGGCGCCGTCATGTTAGACTTTTGATAGCGCTACAAAATTGGACTTTGAACATTCAAATCACTTTCACATTAGCAATAATAAAGCGTTGTTAGAATGGCAAAGTCAGGTCACTTCTGTTAAGATGCATTCTTATCCTTATCTCATCATAATGTCTGAGTCTTACGAATGCATAAAATGCGTGTGCAGTGATTAGTTCTTTGCCATGTTGGCACTTGAAGGCGCTACATCATTGTCTCGTTGTCCTAGACAATGTCCTATAGGATACCTAGAGCTCTGTGTAGCATTCTAATTGTTATGTTCTATCTGTAGAGCTATTGTATTATTATCCACTTTGTGTAGACATCTACTATGTTTACATAGTGTAGTAGGAAGCATAATGTATGCAATGGTCTGCACCCGTCTAGATATTTCACATGCAATCAGTGTTGTGAGTCAGTATATGTATAAGCCTGAAAGTTCATTGGCAGGCTGTGAAGTAGATACTTAGATATTTGAGAGGATCTGTTAATATTGATTTATTTTTTGACAGGAACACAAATCCAGAGTGCAGAATACTTGGCTATTCTGATTCAGATTATGAGGGTGATTTGAATAAGTGACTATCTCTGATAGGTTATGTATTCACTCTTTCACGTAGTGCCATAAGTAGGAAGGCGACTCTACAGTTGACGGTTGTTTTGTTTAGTACATAAGCAGAGTATATGACAGTAACAAAAACAGTGAAAGAAACTATTTGGTTAAGAGGTCTGGTTGAAGACCCAACTTACACCAAGGTGTTAGTATGATGTTTTATGATAATCAGAGTATTGTACATTTGATAAAGCATCAGATGTATCATAAAAGAACCAAACATATAGATGTTAGATTTAATTTTATAAAAGAAATTAAAGTCATCAAGAATGAAAAAATGGATACTACAGATAAATCGAGAGATATGATGACGAAGCTCATACCTTAGCACAAGTTTGAGCATTGCCTCGAATTGCTTGGAGTTCAACACAGCGGAAGTTAAGCTCGTGGGCTTTTGGCGTGACAGTAAGAGTGAAGAGAAGAATTATCTCATTTAAATCAAGTTGGGTATTTGTGAAAATGACTTGAATGTCCAAAGTCTAATCCTCCAGTGCTATTAAAAGTCTAACATGATGGCACCACCTAAATTTAGCATTGCAGCTGTATAAAGAAATGTAAAAGGCTATGTAGATAGTCCTACTATTACTTTCCTAGCCTACTTATTACAACTAATATGTTGTTCTTTTCACACAAAAATTAGCATTATAAAATGAGGAGTGACGGATGAAAAGTGAGCATCAGGACAGAGAAAAAGAAAGAGATGAGTTAGAAAGAAGAGAGAGAGAGTGTTATGTTCTTTTTTTGTGTGATTCTCTGGTGAGATTAGAGAGTAGTCTCATTTATAATTTTTTCTTTTGTGATTAGTAAATTTCTCTGCTGTTTATGCTCCTGGACATGGATCATACTGATCGAATCACGTTAAATCTTGTGTATTGTTCTCTGTCTTTACTGTGTTTATATAGTATTGTGTTATTATCCATTTTATATAGACATCTTCTGTATCTGTGAAGTCCCGCTGTTGTAATAAATTACTATAAGAGCTGCAGTGTTATTCTAGTGGACTTCAAGATGTCTTCTATAAAGTATAAAATGCAGAAGTTTGACAGGAGAAACAGTTTCAGTTTATGGAGAGTTAAATGAGGGCTCTCCTAGTGCAACAAGAATTGTTCATAGTCTTGTCTGGGAAGGACAAGTTGCGGAATTCATACCCGATGATGAGAAAGAAGAGCTGGAGATGAAAGCGTATAGCGCCATACAGTTTTGTTTGACTGATGAGGTCCTGCGGGAGGTTGCTAATGAAGATACCGCCGCTGGTTTGTGACTCAACTTTAAGAGCTTGTACATGACGAAACCTCTTATGAACAAGCTTTATTTGAAACAACCTCTTTCACCCTTCGTGTAAAGGACGGTACGCTAATTAAAGACCACCTAGATGAACTTAACATTATTCTTATGGACTCAAAGAATATTGATGTTAAATTTGAGGAAGAAGATCAAGCCCTTCTTTTGTTATGTTCATTACCTCACTCTTTTGAGAATTTTTTCAGTAGTATGTTGTTTAGTAAATATATACTTTTTTAGTGGATGTCAAATCAGACTTACATTTAAAAGAATTAAGACAGAAAGATTCTGTAGTAGGAGGTGAGAATCAAACTAAAGGCTTGTTCGTCTGTGGTTGTTCTGAAAAAGGTGTTGGTGGTAGAGGTAAATCTACAAACATGTCCATATCAAAGTCAAGGTCAAGAAAAAATGTTGAATGTTATTACTGTCACAAATTTGGGTATGTAAAACCTAATTGTCGAGCGCTCAAAGCAAAAGACAATTCTCAATCAAAATCTTGCGAAGTGAAACCTTCAATTGCCATTGTCATTGAAGAGTTTTCCAGTTCATATGAAGTTCTTTTAGTTTGTGTTGATACTCATTCACAAGACGAGAGGGTTTTTGATTCGGGTTGTGCTTACGATATGTGTCCTCATAGGAATTGATTTGTTACATATCAGCTATGATGGTGTAATGTCTTGTTGAGAAATAACATGCCTTGCGAGACTATTGGAATTGGATCAATTAAAATTAGAATACATGATGATATTGTTAGAACATTGAGCAATTTCAGACATATAATAGAGTTAAAGAAGAATCACATTTCTTTAGGCACCATTGACTCCAATGGTTTTAAGTTTTCAGCTGAAGGTAGAGTTTTGAGAGTTAATAGTAAATGCTCTCTTATTGTTATGAAAGAAAAAAAGATGAATATCCTCTATATTCTTGAAGGTAGTACAGTGACAAGTGCTACAACAATGTCATCCTGAGAGGATTCAAATTCTGATACTACACATTCATGACATATGCGATTAGGGCAAATGAGTGGGAGGACTAGATGTGTTGAGCAAACAAGGTCTACTTTGTAGTAAAAAACCAGCAAATTAGACTTTTGTGAGCATTGTTTTTTCGGCAAACACCATTAAGTCTCGTTTAGTACCGGTGTTCATAGAACCAAATGTATTTTAGATTATATCCATTCAGATATTTAGGGTCCCTCTCAGGTTTTATCGAAAGGTTGAGCTCGTTTTTCGCTAACGTTAATTGATGATTATTCTAGAAAAACTTGGGTGTATCCTTTGAAGCATTAGAGTGATGTATTTGCAATCTTTAAGCAATAACATGTTATGATTGAGAAGTAAACAGGAAAGAAAGTGAAGCACATCAGAACCGATAATGAGATGAAGTTTTGTTTTATAGAATTTGATTAGTTCTGCAAAAATAAAGGTATTGTGCATCATCATATAGTTCGGCATACATCACAACAAAATGGAGTTGCAGAAAAAATGTGCACTTTTAGGGAGCTCGGTGCATGCTCTCTAATGCCGGTTTGTCAAAAGATTTTTAGACCGAGGCAATCAATACAATTTGCTATTTAATAAATAGATCTTTTATAGCAATTGATTTTAAGACTCTAGAAGAAGTATGGTCTGGTGCTCTTGTTAATTACTCTCATTTAAGAATATTTAGTTGCTTTGCTTATTTTTATGTTAATGATAGTAAGCTTGAAGCTAGAGCGAAGCATCCTTTCTAAGGGTATGCTATTGAGGTGAAGAGATAGATTGTGGTGTTTTGATCCTAATTCATCTAGTTTATTATTAGTAATGATGTTACTTTTGATGAGAAATCTATGCTACACCCGAGAAAGGAATTTGTTGCTAATAGTGGAGGTATTGAAAAGGAGTCTAACGAGTGGATGGAGTTAGAGAACTCTGCTTCAAAGGGAGTGCTCAAGCATGCTCTTGTTGAACAAGTTGATACTGCCGAAGGTCAACTTTAGATGCTGATATACAACAAGAGCAATAATATAATATTACTATCGGAAGAATAAAAAAGCAGATATGACCTCCTCAATGTTATGCAGACATGGTTGCTTATGTTTTGAGCATAGCAGAATCGATTGAGATTCTAGAGCCTTCTATCTACAAGGAAGCTATTAGTAGCAGTGAGGCTGCAGGTTGGACTGTTATGATGACTGAAGAGACGGAGTCTCTTCACAAGAACCAGATATAGGAGTTAGTTAAGCCACTAAGAGGACAAAAAGTCGTTGGTTGCAAACATGTGTTCAAGAAGAAAAAAGAAACCTCGAATACAAATCTTAGATACAAGACACGTTTGGTAGCTAAAGGTTATAGTCAGACCGAATGTGTGGACTTTAATGAAGTATTTTCTCCAATTATAAAACATACTTTAATTCGTGTGTTGCTTGCTATGGTTGCTCACTTTGATTTAGAACTTGAACAAATTGATGTAAAAATGGCTTTCTACATGGTGAGCTTGAGGAGCAGATCTTTATACATCAGGCAAATGAGTTCTTTGTTGAAGCTAAAGAAGATCGTGTGTGTAAGTTAAAGAAATCGCTTTATGGGTTGAAGCAGTATTTAAGATGGTAGTATTTGAGATTTGACACTTTTATGTTTGAGCATGGTTAGCTTAGGAGTAAATATGTTAGTTGTGTTTATCATAAAAGACACAATAATAGTTCTGTTGTATACTTGCTTTTGTATGTTGACGACATGTTGATTGCAGCTAAAGGCATGTCAGATATTAACGAGTTAAAATCTCAGCTCAAGCATGAGTTCGGGATGAAAGATCTGGGAGCAACGAAGAAGATTTTGGGGATGGATATTTACAGGAACAAACCACAGAAGAAATACATTAAGAAGGTGTTGGAGATATTTGACACGCTTGATGCCAAACTTGTGAAGACTCCACTTGCTACTTATTTTCATCTTTCAGCAGATTTGTTACCTTAGACTGAAGAGGAGCAGTACATGTCTTGTGTTTCTTATGCCAGTGCAGTAAAAACATTATGTATGCTATGGTTTGCACCCGTCCAGATATTTCACATGTAATCAGTGTTGTGAGTCGGTATATAAATAAGCCCGGAAAGGTCCATTAGCAGACTGTGAAATAGATACTTATATATTTGAGAGGATATGCTGATATTGATTTATATTTTTTAGCAGGAGCTTGTAGAATACTTGGCTATTCTGATTCAGATTATGCGGGTGATTTAGATAAGAGACGATCCCTGACAGCCACAAGTTATGTATTTACTCTTTCAGATAGTGTCATTAGTTGGAAATCGACTCTACATTTGATAGTTATTTTGTCTACTACAGAGACATTATATAGTGGTAACAGAAATAGTGAAATAAACTATTTGGTTGAGAGGCCTCGCTAAAGATCTCAACTTACATCAAGGTGTTACTACGGTATTTTGTGATAGTCAGAGTGTTATATATTTGACAAAGCATCAGATGTATCATGAAAGAACCAAATATAAAGATGTCATGTATCATTTTATCGGTGAAATTAAAGTCATTAAGATTGAGAAAATTAGTATTGTAGATGACCCGGTGGATATGATAACGAAGCTCGTACCTTCGTACAAGTTCGAGCATTGCATTAAATTGTTTAGAGTTCAAGATAGCGGAGGTTAAGGCCGTTAGGGGCTTCTGGCAAGACGGCAAGAGTGAAAAGAAGAATTATCACATTCAAGTCAATGTGGGTCAATGTGGAGATTTGTGAAAGTAGCTTGAATGTCCAAAGTCCAATCCTACAACGCTATCAAAAGTCTAATATGATGGCGCCACCAAAATCTAACATTGCGGCTGTATGAAGAAATGTAAACAAAGGCTACATAGATATCCCTCCTATTGCTTTCCTAGCCCATCTTATACAACTAATATATTGTCCCTTTCACACATAAATTTGGCATTATGAAATGGTGAGTGAGTGATGAAGAGTGAGCATCGTGACAGAGAAAAAAAGGAGTTAGAGAGAAGAGAGAGAGGCATAGAGAGTTATTTTCTTTGTATGATTTTCTGGTGAGATTAGAGTGATCCCTTTTGTAATTTTTTCTTTTGTGATTAGTGAACTCGGCTGTTGTCGCCCGTGGACGTAGCTCATACTGATCGAACCACATTAAATCTTTGTGTGTTGTTCTCTATTTCTATTGTGTTTATGCAGTATTGTGCTGTTATCCACTTTGCATAGACACCTTCTGTGCCTGTGAAGTCCCCCGTTACAGCGTCCCCTGTTTGCTGAAACGGGGGATTTTACAGACACAAAAAGTGTCTATACAAAGCAATAATAACACATACTATGTAAACACAATAGATATAGAGAAAAACACGCAAGAATTTAACGTGGTTCGATCAGTATGACATATGTTCACGGGCGAACATAGCACAGAAATTACTAATTACAAAAGAGAAGATTATAAAAGAGACCACTTTCTAATATCACTAGAGAATCCCATAAATAAAGAACATAACTCTCTTTGTCTCTCACTTCTTTCTAACTCCTCTCTTTTTCTCTGTCCCGATGCTCACTCTTCATCCCGCACTCCCCATTTTATAATGCCAAATTCTTATGTGAAAGGGACAACATATTTCTTGTAATAGGTGAGCTAGGAAAGTAATAGCAAGGCTATCTACATAGCTTTTGTTTACGTTTCTTCATGCAACCGCAATGTTGGATTTTGGTGACGCTGTCATATTAGACTTTTGATAGCACTGCAGGATTGTACTTTGGACATTCAAGTCACTTTCACATCATTAATGGTAAAGCGTTGTTGGAATGACAAAGTCAGGTCACTTGTGTTAACATAGATTCTTATCCTTATATCGTCACAATGTCGGAGTCTTACGTATGCGTATAACGCATGTGCCATGATTAATTTTTTGCTTTGTTGGCACTTGAAGGTGCTATATCATTGACTTGTTGTCCCATGGGATTGCTAGAGCTCTCTGTAGCATTCCAATTGTTATGTTCTATATGCAGAGCTACTGTTTGCTCGGTCGATTCTAATGTACAGTCAAGAGCCCATGCATGAAGATAACTTTGCATATTGACTTATTGTTTATGAACAATAATACCACTAGAAATAAATCCATGTTCTTCAGGCCTAGGTAAGGTCATAAAATTTTTGTTCGCCTTTGGAATGTCCTAGGTTTAGCCTACAAGCCTTTGCTCAAGAAAGGAAGTATGGGCATGCAGTTCGTGCGTGCATGTATGTGTGCGCGTGTGCAGGGTAAAAGTGGGTTTGTGTGTCACACCAGCCCACTTGGCTTGTGTGTGCTGATGTGTGAACACACTATTTGTTCTATTTTTCATTCAAATTCCTCAAGTAAACATTTATTATTAACCCCCCACAAAGAAACTCTATAACGTTGTTTTAAATATCGACTGATAAACGTATATTATCGGCGATTTATCGGTTTTGGGGGCCTTCCGCTATGATAAGTTTGATTTTAAATCGGTTATCATTTTGGATGTTTATCGACGATAATGCAGCGATAAAGTGAGTTATCAGCCAATATTGTCGCCTCAAAATATCGAAATTATTGGCCTTTGGTTTGGGTTTGGGTTTGCTCTTTGGATGTTCAAGAATTATAAACTATTTGTTACTTTCGGAACTTGATTGTTTGGTGATTAGCTTATGTTTGTTTATGAATATTGGCATAGCTCATAACTATTAAATCTCAACTTAGTAAGTTAGTTTATAATCCCGTGATTACACAATAATTATGTTTACGATTCTTCATTCTTTATGTTATCTTGTTATTTGCTTGTATGTTATTCCATTTTTACTAACTATGCACTCGAAGGGTTTCATCGTGCGATCAAGAAGCAAGTTTCTACCATTGATTAGTGAACCTAAACATGATTATTTACATTTTGATATGTTTATATTTCATTAAGTATGATTGAGTTACATTTTAGAATATTATATTATGTATATACGCCATCCGATAATATCACTCCGATAAATACTACTTATTCCTAATATATCCTTGATATCCGCTATCCGATATTGATTTTGACCGTCAGATAAATCCCCGATAACCGATATTTAAAACCTTGCTCTATAGTCAATATCCTAAAATCATGTGTCCATAATATCTCATTCCCAAATTAGAGCAACATTCATCTTCAACACATAATCTCCTTCACATAGAGAGGGTGGGGGGTGGGGGGACAATGTGTTTGTCCTCTTCTCCAAAAGCAACCCGTTCTCATACGAAAAATAATATTCTGTTCTTTATGTTCACTTCGTGCTCGATGTCTCCAAGAGGTCGTCTTCCTCAAACATTCTTCTCCTTCATTCAAGAAGAATGCCACCATTTGGTCTGGCGAATGCTTCATTTGTGCTCATTATGAATTCTCCGATGAAATTGATGGGCAAGAAAAAAAAACAAGGCTTTGAAACAGCATTCTGAAACATTGCGATCAACATTTAGTTCACATGTTATGCAACTGATGAGATCTTTGAGGGGGAAGGTTCATCCACCGTTTTTCTTTGCCTCACAAGTTATGGAGTTGGGATGCCATAGAAGTTATATGGATTGGCTCGGTGTAATTGAGATTTGTAGAGGGGAAAATGCGACATTTTAGAGATTCTCATTGCGTAGCTCCCTATTGGGAAGAGAGCACAATTTGTTAATTGGAACTGTTATGTAAGATATGAATTGGTACTTTAAAAACTATCAGTTGTGAATTGTTACTTAAAAAATTTATGATATGAATTATACCCTTTCTTTAAGGCATAGATATCCAGCATTGATAAGCTTGCAGCAAAAATTTAATTGGGGTTCTCAACTTCATATTTCGTTGAGGAACAAGGTTACATTTGTTTCTGGCAATTGATAAGACTTAAACGTTTGGCTGCGGTGGTTATTTGATACTTATTGGAAATGTAGAGGTTATCAACCAACATGATTATATGAATAGTTCAACACGAACTGTGATTATATGAATAGTTCATCCTTTTGGTGAACTCAATTGTATATACAATCGGTAAATTGGTAAACATAATGTCAATAATATGTCAGCTAAGTCCTCTTTGTGTGCTTGCTCACATAAATTGTATTTGTGATTATACAGGTACATCCGTGCATAGGGTGATCATAGTTCTCTTGTATAGATGTAATCTCTGGAAAGATAATATTGTTTAGTTGCTCTTTTTATGTTTTCTTAATATATATCTGAGTAATATCATATGACACTTATCTTGATCTGCTCAAGTCTGGCAAGTCTGGCAGTAGACACTGAATTTTTGCTGTTAATTCTTTATGTTTCAGGCAAAGAGGTCCCCGTGGTGCAGCTGCAGAGGCTGCTGGTTAAGTAAAGCATACGCAGTCCCTTGCTGTGGATGTGAGAACTGGTGTGTCCATAAACTTGACTATCTTTCCTAGATTGTACATTTTCTTTTTGTTTGCCATCCTTCGTTAGCTTCTGAACGATTTAATTGTTGTATAGATATTTTAAATAAACGATAACAATCTTTCAATCTATCATTTCATACATAGCATGTATCGTCTGAAGCTTGCTTGGGTTAGTGCTATTATATGACTAACTAGCCAAATGAGGGAGATAAAGGAGGCCTTTTCTGATGAATGTATATAAGCTCCTCTTTTTTATTGTATTAGGAAGATATCACAACCTGTAATTTATTAGATACATCACTATGATTAAAATATATGTATGATAGAATAATAACAAGGAATGTAACTGTTAAAGGGGAGATAAAGTTATTCCCTACCATAATAGACTTACACCAATGGCTGACGTTATGTTGTTACCACTTTACATTAGTTATTGATGATTGCATGTCCAAGAAGAAATCCCCATTGTATTTGCTGATGATCTCATATTACTTGGGGGAATGAAGAAAGATCGATTTCAGCAACATAAAGATGGAGAAGACTTATAAGAATTTTGGATTAACACAACTGAGAAGTAATATAACAGTGTTTGTCGGATGTTTATTACTCTCTTCTACTAGTTTCAATCAAATCATTCATCGAAATGGTAAAATATAGGAGGACCAATTTAGTTCATTGATCAAAGCATCATGGTTTAATCTCCTTGCATGTATATTTTCACTCGTGTCTTACCCGCCAAGTTGACCAGTGAAAGATGAAAAAACCTCTAAATTTCTAATCTGTGGCCTTCAAAGATCAAGAGACAAGAATTTTCCCAAGGAAGTTGATCCTCGTACGATAAAATAGAGTTTCAAGGAGTTTTTTTTAGAGTACTTATTAAGGGAAAC